GTAAAAATTTTACAAGTTAGTAATCTAGTAATTTCATTGGCCAGAATTAATGCGAAGTCTCTGTTACATGGATAACATGATATTTTAGACATTTCTTCAAGATCAATTTAAGAACTAATTATTTACGTTTACAAATGAGTAACAAATAAAATATTCTACATTATACGCCAGGTAATAGTTTTTACTGGCTCTAGGAGATGACAGGCTAACGGCTCGCCAGTCAACTTCTCCTATCGCCAGTAAAAACTCACTTACCTGGCTAATAATGTAAAATACTATAAATCATGCATTTGCATAAAATCACTGCCTTGTATAAGATTAGAACACACCCAACTCGTAGTATGTAGGTACCTAAAATAAGGACGATTGCTTTTCTTACAAATTTAGGATTGTATTTAACTCGCCTTGTTCAACCTCGTTTGATAAAAAAAGAACCTAAATCTCTTTTGCGTATAATATAAAGCTCACCCGTAAAGCCCTTGCTTACGTACTTGACATATAAGTAGCTATTTTGTATACTCCAATAACTTTAAAATAGTAAATCCAAAACCTACTTAATCTGCGCCGGTTTGTACCATTATGAGATCGAAGATTGTAATCATACTTAAATTTCAGGAAGATGTCAATAAAGCAGTCGCAGCTGCCAAAGCAGCCTTTGAACGCAATTCCGAATGGAGAACTATGTCGCCGGCTTCAAGAGGTGAACTGATACTGAAGGTATTATTATCAACACAGTTAAGTTACTGTGGAAATGTACAAATTTATTTTCCAAGCTTGCGGACCTAATGAAACGCGACAAGGAGTATTTAGCTGCCTTAGAGTCGTTGGACAATGGTAAAACCTACAAAAACGCACTTCACGATGTGGGATTTTCTATTGATGTGCTGAAGTATTACGCAGGATACTGCGATAAAATTCACGGAAGTACAATTCCCTCTGGTAACATTCTCATTGATCGCTTAGTTCGGTTTATAAGCTCTTTTCTGCAGATGGCAATTTTATGACCATGACAATTAAAGAACCAGTGGGTGTTGTTGGACAGATAATTCCGTGGAATTATCCTCTTGGGATGGTGGCGTGGAAATGGGCGCCAGCCTTGGCCACGGGATGCACGGTTGTTCTCAAGCCAGCTGAACAAACACCTTTGACAGCTCTCGTACTCGCTGCATTGGCAAAGGAGGCTGGATTTCCAAAAGGAGTAGTAAATGTACTTCCAGGATATGGGCCAACCGCAGGCGGTGCGATTGTTCAACATCCAGGCATTAATAAAGTTGCTTTTACTGGATCTACTGAAGTATGATATTTAAAAAATCGCCAAAGTAATGAAATATGTCTAAAATAGGTTGGCAACAAAATTATGGAAGGTGTTGGTCAAAGCAATCTGAAGCGCGTGTCACTTGAACTTGGAGGAAAGAGTCCTCTTGTTATATTTGATGATGTAGATGGTAAAAGTGCTCGCGTTATAATATACCTATTATTACTTATATCTGAACTTTTAGTTGATAGGGCTGTTGAAATTGCTTATGGAGCATGTTTCTCTAACCATGGACAAAATTGTTGCGCGGGATCACGCACATACGTGCAGGCTGGTATTTATGATGAATTTGTTAAGAAAGCTGCAGAAAAGGCAAAGCGTACGAAAGTAGGTGATCCATTCGCTGAAGATACCGTGCAAGGTCCTCAGGTACTCCTACTTCAATAACCGAATGCGTTAAGTATATCTAATGTTGTGTAGGTAAATCAAGAGATGCTTGATAAAGTTTTAAGACTGATAGAAAGTGGAAAAAAGGAAGGTGCCCATCTTCAAACCGGAGGTTGTCGCAAAGGAAATGAAGGCTACTTTGTTGAACCAACCGTATTTTCCGATGTTAAAGACGACATGACAATTGCAAGAGAAGAGGTTTATTTTCAAACACTAAAACCCCTTTTATAAACCGGATTTTTAGATTTTTGGTCCAGTACAAAGCATTTTAAAGTTTGAGACCTTGGAAGAAGTTATTAAAAGAGCTAATGATACGACCTACGGTTTAGCGGCGGGAGTATTGACAAACAACATTACAACTGCTCTTGCTTACGCCAAATCCGTGAGAGCTGGATCGGTGTGGTAAGTATCTTATGTAAAGCTAAAGAATACTTGAAAATACTATAATTTTTGTATTTTTGTTTGTAGGGTTAACTGTTACCACGCTGTCTCACCCCAGACGCCATTCGGAGGATTTAAACAATCTGGAGTAGGAAGAGAGTTGTAAGTTAATTTCTACCAGGGTTACTAGGTATAATAAGGGGGCACGTCATAATGAATTAGTTGCATTGTTGTAGCAGGTAGTTCTCTTTTAGGTACTACCTTCATTTACTGTCGCTGCCTCAAACCGAATCTTTTTCACGTCTTTTTAATACTAACATTTTGTCTGTTTGTTACAGGGGAGAAGAAGGACTCAAAGAGTACTTAGAATTGAAAACCGTATCAATAAAAGTGTAATCGTTTATCACACCATTTTCTCTAAACGTATGTTTTATAATGTAAAACCATTACCTACTGATTAAAACTAATGAATTGGAAATCCATGGGTTTTATTAAGGATCCTCCTCGGGATCCTCAGATCCTTTATAGTTTTGTATTGTTGTCTGTCTGTCCGTCCGTCCGTTCGTGTGCACTACATAACTATTTTTAAAAGTGTAAAAATGTTGAAATTTGGCATACAGATAGGACGCCGATTCTCAGCGTTGAGTGGTAGATTGAAGATTTCTTTTTTTCCAGAATTAAAATTCTTAAATTAATTATTGGTCAATAGATTGCATTTAAGTTTCGTAAAACCCGATCTAAAGTTTATAATGCTATGACGATGAGGATACATAGTGAAATTGTATGTACCATCTCCTATAGCTCCTGAGATAAATTTACGTTTACCTTTCCCAGAGGTTTCTCTGAAAATTAGCTTCAAAAATTTAATTTCCTGAATACTTGCTTGCCAAAATTAAACACCGCAGTACGATGAAGTTTTCAACATATGGACAACAACGGTAAATATGAAACAAATCGAATTTACAGCTCCATTTTTTACAAGTGTTCTATTTCCAGAGCTTGCTTTGAATTCCTTTCACTACATAGATTTGTAGAAGTTATCTTAAATTAGATATACCTACTCGAACCTACCACTTTTCATATTAAAGTCATTCACTTGGAATTTTTTCTTTATTGCAATTTTTAAAAAAAATTCAAACGGTTTCAACGTCAATGTGTTGATACAAAATACATGCAATAACAAAAGGCTCGAAAGTACCATAAAATTGCTTTCATTAAGAACGTTACAAAACAAGATTTTCCTAACTGCCCCTTCATACTGGTCTGTTTAACATGGTTTAGCAGCGCTGCACTGCGTCCTGTCCTTCTGCTTAGAAGCGCGGCTAAGTCGCCCAGTGCGAAGGAGCACTGATGAGTATTTACTTCGAATTTTGCAAGTATAAGCATTTGCTTACTTTTATTCATACGGGCCAATATCTCATATGAGAAATGCCTACCTTTTTACAGATAACGATGTTAATCAAAAGGCAAGGCATGACTGTTTCTTGCGGAAACAATTCTTCTCATAATAATAATGCGCGACGAAGGGTAAATTGGAGCTCCCGACGGATACTTTTTCTTTTATGAATTTTACGAAAACTGTTGTCCGCTAAATGGAATACTTCCAATGTTGATAATGGCAAGCGAGATAAATCTTATTTTCACCAGATATTCGATTAACGAGTCTTATCAAGGTTTTAAATGTTTTTTGTGTAAATTCATAAAAAGGAGAAATTTCCCTACAGACAAGACACTTTACTTTTATGTCTTTCCAGTACGCATACTACGTTATAAATTCGAAATTAGGAGGTCAGTACATTTAATGTTATTCCAAGATACGCGCAAGTGTAATTTCGCACTCCACATAAACAATAGCTACTTTAGCGATAAAACCACTTCGAAACTGTACGTTTAATCAATTCATCCTCGACTAAATACAAATTTATTTAACGATTCCTTCTCCTTCTACTGCCACAGGTCGTTTCTTTACGCTTAAATTTAGAAAGCCCGTTTAATCTCTTGCCGACGGAAAATTTTCTTTTGGTTAAACTTTTAACTGGAAGATCTTCTTTTGCTGCTGATAGTTTCCATCCAACGTTAATGGTAAGATTTTCGGAAAATCCGCGAAAAGTTGTCGTTTCAAAACGACACCATTGATCGAGTTGTGGAAAATCTGTCTCTTGTGACCAAATAATGTCTTAAACGGTGTTCTTCACGATCTGTGGTCACTCGGGGACGTCCAGATCCAGGGCAACGTTGGTGAACCTTATCTTCGGACCATCCGGACCAACATCTTATTACCATTGCAACTTCCCGTTGTACACGTCCAGTAATATCTCTATAGGAATATCCGATTTCTTTCATAGCAAATTCACTTTGCAGATAGTTTAAACGGCGACGAACTCTTGAAATTTTTTAAATAATGTTTGGCAAACAGTAGTGGTCAAGAAATGTAATAGGTAACATTGACAGTTTATGCACTCAAATATTTTATAGAATGTATTTGGAATTTCCGTACTGGGCACCTAAAGGCGCTTTATATGCAAAACTTCCGACTTCAGACCTTCAGCGAAAACCACGGTATAATAAAAAGCGAAAACTCATTTGTAGTGATTGGTAAACAATATAGTATTATTAGCGTTTTTTTGTCTTCAAATATATCTACTTTAATTTCTCAACATTGCCCATTACTCCTGGGCGACCCTGTATAAGTAATGGATTCCTTGGGTAGGATCAATCTATTGAAAAATATTCTCGACCAAATTTAGCTATGTCTTAATGCTATAAATTTAAAGGCTTCCGAAACTGTGCGGCAATAAAGAACACAACAAGCTGATGAGCTCCTGACGATGTAAAGCAGCGCAATATACTCACCCGTATGTATGATGTATTGCCTGCTGCTATCAAAATTCGACGAAACTGTAAATTCGCAAAGTTGCTATAATTCGATGTTGTTGTATTGACGGTCTAATTTTAGGTTAACTCACTCACCCAATTTTTGTTGTGAAAAATGTTAATTTCTCGCGGTGTAAATCTACTAAAATGTTCAAAAATTTTGAAAAACATTAAGGTTACTAATACAGCGACTAGGAATGGGGGCCACGCTGCGTACGTAGTTTCAAAATATATCCATTACATAATCGCACTGTTTTAAAACAAAACTTTTGCTTTCAGATGGAATTATAGATCACCACCTCCTCCTCAGCCAAAATACATATACCACCTTGCAGAATTTACTCAAGGTGTAATGTGGTGGTGGATACTGTGGCATTTATATACTCAATTGGATCACATAACTGTAAGTATCATTTTGGTAACGAGGTAGATTTTAAAAGTGATACTATTTTACTAACTACATCATATGTAGGTTTCGAAAAAAATCAAGTAGATAATGTGTGAGATTTCTTCGAAGATCTGCAAACACCCTATTTTAGCCAATCCTATCTAATCCTGGTCCATGCCATACATTAGGTAACATAAAAATTGTTTAATGCTCCAGTGGAATAACGATAAGAAGGAACGTTCAGTTTATCTGTCCTCTGTTAAATTTAACCAAGGAGCCATTATTGCAACGCAAAAGTTAATTGTGATTAAATTTAACAAGTTCCTCATTGCATTAATGCCAGTACATAATTTATTCTATTTCTTTTCTGTTTCCTAGGGAGAATTTGATTATCCCGATCCATCTAAATGGAGTGATGAAGAATTGGGAATATCATCGGAATAAATAATTACTTTGTAGGGATTGTATTGTACATAAGTAGAAAGTGTATTAAACTTTTACTAGTTCTTGTCCCTTATTTTTTCCTCTTGGAAGACGTCAATGGCTGAGAGTGCTAGTAACTAGTGCTGGGCGATAAATGAAATTGTTATCGATAAGTCTGTTTAGTCCGATAATGATTGTTAGCTGCCGATTATTATTGGCACTTAGTGAAAATTGTCCATTTCTGCCAAGGGGTAAATCGCTAGGCAAAATCGTGTACACCAAACTTCATACTTCACGTATTTCATCAATACTTCATGCACTTCATCAGTACTTCACGGACTTCATCAATACTTCACGGACTTCATATCAGTACTTCACGCACTTCAACAATATTTCATGGACTTCACTAACGGACTTCAACACACTTGTACACCATACTTCACCAGAAATTTAAAAAAAATGTGCTTTTGTTTGAGTTTTGCCCGTCCGTCGCGTCGGACCCACTTCTGCGGTTTTGAACTACTTTTCGGGGAATGGTCCTAGAGTCTTGGAATTTTTTGCAATATGTGGCCTCCATCAATTATTTCCTGAGATGCTGTTTTTGAAAGTAAAAGTAAAACGTGCATTACTTTTACATACGGCAATCAAATGGATTTTGCATACGCATGGCTTTAGTGGTGCAGTAAAAATTTTGAAAATGGGGGGGGGGAACACACGTTCCACCGTTCATGGTCTCATCGAAATAAATTGGTTTGCACAAACTATAACGTTACCGCGACCCTCTTTTTCAAGTTCAGTTCATGGCGAGGGGGGGGGGGCGTATTTTATCTTTCATGATATTCTAATTAAAGGTCTCAACGAAAGGAATTAATTTCTACCAACCATAGTCCTCTTCTTCGATCCCTTACCGTGATTGAATATTCCCTTATATCTCCACAACAGATTGTTGGAAGAGGGTACTCACAAAGGGCGATTGGGACATCTTAAAGAAATATATCCATTGAGCGAATATCTCGAAAACGGTTTATCGGAGGAAAGTACTTTCAAAGGCAAAATCAATCGGGGGTGTCGGAGGATTTTGAATGTCCTCCCATCAATCATCTACTAAGAAAGTAAATATCAATAGCATGCCTACTACCTTCTAACCCAACCATTTACTAAGCTATTTCGGTTTAAAAAATGGCCCTTGATCTTTATCTGCAGAGGAGTTGTGATTTTATAAGCTTTTCTTATCAAATTTCTGTTATACCTATGCAGTTATACTAAATAGTTCACTTCCTATTAATATAATGGGTCCTGTTAAAATATATCTTTTATTAACAGATTGGATATCTGGCTCTATACCATATAAAGGTGTCCAATTCTTCTTTTAAAAATGTCATTTAAACAAACAAACAAAATAAGCGGGAAAATATTGCTTAGGTCTTGTAAAAGGTATTGTAACATATTACCAGGCTGAACCCAATAAGCAACTCTTAATCCTTTTACAACAGGTTGCATTTTTAGGGGATTATTTTCAAGAATTATGCTAATGGTGTTGTTTGTGTGATAGCATGTGGATGTGATAGTATTGACCTCGGGATTGACATTATAGTCGTAAATAACTCAATGGCGTGGCCAGAAACTTGATTTGGAAGGGGCTGATGTACTAAGTTGTGGAGGGTACTGAAATTTTAAGGAACACAAAAGCCGATATCCACGTGACAAATTTTCCGTCTGTCGATTTTATTTTAATATATCTAATAAAAGTGTTATTTATAGCTACCTGAACGTGATGGTAAAGGAAAGGATTTATTAAATTTTTAAAAGGAAACAATTTACGATCTTTGTACCTACACATAAATACGACGCAAGGACTATCAGTACGTCTACGAGTCGCTGTCTCATCAGGGCGTCTGTCGCCCGTGTAACTGTCCTTTTGTTAGTCATTCATAAATAAATGCCATACTTTTGCGGATAAAAAACTTACCTTTCAGCATAGATTTTTTAATCTATGCTTTCAGTTTTATTTCGCAGAAATTTATTTAATTTTACCTCGAATTTTACATAGTGATTACGACCGTGAATTGAACTACCGTACGATTTTTGTTAACGGATTTGATTATAAACTTCGCCTCAACCTCATGCATTTTTCCAATAGTTCGCTTAAACTTCACTAACTTCACCAATACTTCATAGACTTCATCAGTACTTCATGGACTTCATCAATACTTCACGGACTTCATATCAGTAGGTACTTCACGCACTTCAACAATATTTCATGGACTTCACTAACGGACTTCATCACACTTGTACACCATACTTCACCAGTGGTTCACCCCTCGATTTCTGCTAACTATCAATTAATAGATAATAAGTAGCGGTAATTATCAAGAGATCGAAAACACTAGGGCATACTCGTTCGCCATTTTGGTTCTAAAAGTTTAGCGGGAGTTTTTATTGAGCGGGAGTTTTAATTTACTATAAGTTACAACGTATTTAGATGATTGGTCTTTTTAAAATTACTACTAAACTGGGAGTCGGGTACTGAATTTACCTTTTCTTTTCTGTCTTAGCTGGGACTAGAACTCTTATTACAAGGAAAAAATAAAAGTTAAGTTACAAACTGGGTGTAACACGTAGTCAATTACTTATTGGTTACCTACTACCTACTGATAAATGTAATCAATTACTCCCCAGCTCTGTTTAGGAATAAATTACTTTTATTTGTAGATATAGCCAACCCATTTTATGTAAAATAATAATAAATAATCGATAAAAATCGCAAAATTTACCAAGATCACCAGAACCAAAATGGCGGACGAGTATGCCTGTATAAATACAGCGCCCTAGAATTGACGACATGGCGTGTTCGAGTCGGACACGCTGGCGGCTGGCGCTGTGACAAATCCAAACTCAAGTTTAAATAAACCCCTAAAGCGGATCTATAAAAACCCGAACCAAAAAAAGCGACAGAGCACCTCGGTTTGACTCTACGGGATCATTGGATTTCACTGATTTTCAATAGGTTGGTTACATGTGGCCTATCCTATAGATGGGTCAACTGTGCAAAGTTTGAACCGAATCGGTCCAAGCGTTTGGCAGTTATCGTGTTCACGGACGGACAGACTGACACCATCGACTCTTACATCGCTTTGCTCTGCCGCTTAATAATTGTTTGTAAGGGTTTAACAAGTAAATGTTCCCGACAATATAGTCAAAGGAAAATGGAGAGGTAAATAACGGATGATGAGGTAATAAATAAGCGTCATCCTTATGTAAACCCTATAAATTATGTACATATCTGCATTTAGAATTAAAACGTGATAGGGGCGACGACGTACCGCCTTTCAAATTAAATATTTGCTGCCAGTGTACTTTCAATTCCGTAATAAAATAAGATTGATTAAAAAAGTGAATTTCGAAAAAATGAACAAATTTAAATTTTTTTTAGATAGGTAAATGCGGAGAGCCGCAATTTTATATCCCCCTGTCCATTTTCCACAGATATCGGGATATTTGTCCAAGATAAGGATAGTCGCCGGTAACTGGTAAGTTAAAAAAGTGGTATATATGTGCATTGTGCATCAGCTACACAGAAGAGCGTGTCCGATCTGTTTCTTATTTTCTTGAAAGAAGTTTTCTAACAATAGATAGAAGAGCGTCGGAATTTGTGTTTTGATGCTTTTAAACATTATCTTGAATCATTATACAACAAGGAAACAAATTTTGCGGATAACTAATTCAACCCTAGTATGGTATATCTGGAGGGAGGAAGGGGAGCAATCAATTTTGCGTGTCTCAGGGCCATAAATAAATAATTGCATTTTAGTAGAGTAGGTAACATTATTGTGAATATAAGCATGGTCATGATTCATGAACAAGGTTTGAGCTTTTTTTGTAATGTAAGTAGGTAGATACCTGCTGCAAAAATAAAATCAGTCGTTTAAATTATACTGCTGATATACAAAGAATTATACTGTGCTCTGTATGATGGGTGACGCAAAAGAAAAAGATCTGTTTTGTACTCTCTCTATCTCTACTTCCGGGTAAATTTGCTAAAAGTATTCTGACGACTGACGAGTTTAGGTAGTTTCCATTTTCACTTGTTTATAGTGAGTTACAAAACTACAAATCAATTAGTGAAAAAGTTAAACTATTACATTTTGTTTAATCTTCAATGCAAGTAATGCAACATAAACGTTTCGGGAAATGTAAACTTCCATCAAATGGAAAAGTTTACCTGAATTAACCCGATAGCGCCGTGCGTGTAGGTATAGGTCATGGTGTATTTATACACCATGGTATAGATAGGTATACGCTGTACAGTGTACAGGCATTGAATTTCAATGGTACAGGATATAAAAAAGCACTTCAAAAACGAAATCAATTCCACATGACTGTGTGTAACTATTAATACATGTATTTATCGTACAATATAGGTATCTATAGCCTTAATAAACAATAAACTATTTAATCAGTAAGTAAAGTAACGAACTTTTGTTCCAGGTACATTTTTTATGCGTGAGAAATCGGAATCCGCCAGCTTCATTTAACTTCCGTGTCATTGGCACGTATTGGCTAGACCAGACTGTGGCTACACGCATGCGTTGAAACGGGGATTTTTGTAATTTCCCATGTGATGTAAATTTGCTTTGTTTTTAAATACTTGTTTATCAACTTTATCTTTTTATCGACAAACGTTGGGGAAGAACCTTATTCCTGCCTATCGATGACGTAAGTAGGTACTTTACGCCAAGATTATTCGGTTCAGTTGTTCAATTAGTTTTGTGTAGCACTTCACGCAAGTTTTATTCCTTCTGTTAAGCTTATATTTTTAGTGTTAGGTTTATTAAAAATGTTTGAATTAGGTATATTGTCCAATTCAATACATTTACCAGCAAACTTTGAAAAAACTGGTATGTTTTCGGTCGTGTTGAATTCGCATTAAAGCTCGATTTACTTTTGTCTCGCTAGACTTGGACATGAATTTGTACCCTAATTTACTAACACCACCCATGGATTCGCCGACTTCATCAATGATGTCACCCGACTCGGACTGTCGGTCTCCGACACACTTATTTACACCATATCAAGTCCCACACATCTATTCATATAATCCGGACGTGGTAACAATAAGGGGTAAGTTCTCAAATCTGTTTTTACCGTAATTTATTGTCCGTTTTAGATTTGCCCGAACCATGTCTACGAATGCGAGAACCACCCGTGGACAAATTTCGATTTCGTTACAAGTCTGAAATGTCGGGAACTCACGGATCACTGAATGGGAAAACATCTGATAGATCACGAAAGCAAACATTTCCATCTGTTGAGGTGAGCAATGTTGCAATGTTTCTTATTTACCTGCACTGTTGTTGACTTCAGTTGAGTATGTCAAAACAAATGCCAAAATAAACAGCTGACCAATACTGAGAACAGCTACTTTTGAAATTTCTTGTTATTTAATAAACCAATTTCAAAGTAAGTAGAGTCAGTGTGTTCATACTCATACAGTAATCTTTGTTTACTACGAGGTTTACTATTAGTCACCCATTGTATACACCAAGACAATATTTGTAAGAGGTTTACCAAAACAATTGAACATTTACATAACCTTGAATAAGTACGTACATATGATTTTTTACCTTTGGCAGAGAGGAATTTGGTGTAACACGCTACCGTCATTTAGGGTGAAGAGGGATATTTTTGTAGATAAGTTTAACGCCATTAGAGCAAAAATTATCACAAAAATAATTTATATACTTTCATGTTTGTAGAACGTGATTGCGCTTGGGTGTTTTGAAAAAATATAAGTAACATCTAAACTTTTCTTTTCACCCTGTATCTCAGAAACAAATGTAGCTAGATTTTTCTGTTTCACAAAAAAGGGGCACAGGGTCGCGAAAACCACAAGTCTCTATCTTTAAAAACAGCTGAAGTACATTGCAATCCGAGCTGCAATCTCAACCAAAATAGAACACACTGTACACTTTTATATATGTACATACAGGATAAAGGGCAATAAATGGCCAGCTCCAGTGATTTCCATTATAATAAATGAAGTACTTGATTTTCAGCCTTTTACAACAAAGAATTTTTACCTCATTGGATCATCTGTCAAGTCTCAGGGTAGCTACACACCATCCAATTCTTATGCAAGTTCTGATAATACTATCTTATTCTCAATACATAATTAGTTCTGCGTCTCTTGTTTTGTGCAAATCTTTGTTTTGTTGTTGAAGAAATTTATGAAAGCAATCTCGCCCAGGGACAGTATCCTTACCGATTTTAATTCTTTTATCTTGCCAATCAAGGTAACTCTTTACAAGTTAACTCGAGAGTAAACTTATGTCTCCACAAGTCATAGGGAAGTCGCATTCAAGCACAAAACCTGGTGATATCTTCGTGCATCCATTTTAAGTTTCCTAGTTCAAGCTAGGTGGGCAAATTTCTGAGGTCACAGCTCGACAGATTTTGTTGAAATTTTGGATATGTATATCAGTAATATGGAAAGGAAAAATAACGGGCCGGATTTTTGACAAAAAATTTTGAAGCGCCGCAACGGCATTTAATTTTTTTCCAAAAATAATTTAGTATTTTAGTCAGACTTTTTTACAAAAAAAAACGGAGAAAAAAAAAGTAAAAACCTAAAATATTTTTTTTCGCCAGAGAGGTTATTTTGATTTCGTTAAAATTTTGGCAGTGTACAGTGTGTCCTATTTTGGTTGAGACTGCAGTGTATCTCAGCTGTTTTTAGAGATAGAAATAGAGACTTGACGTTTTCGCGACCCCGTGCCATTTTTTTTTGTGAAACTTAATACCACGAACAGAATAAATCTAGCTACATTTGTTTCTGAGATACAGGGTAAAAAGAAAAGTTTGACTTGAGATTTTTACCTAGAATCCAGTGGCGTAGTAAAAAAATTTTGGACACCGCGTCTGAGATTTGACCCAAAGCTAAAAGTTATATGCGACATCCTGTATATTTTAATGGCAATTTTTTGCATTATTTTGCCCGATCGCATTGATGTATCACAACCTACATTTTTTTATATAATTATATATTTCATATTTTTCAAAATTATGAAATGACATATTATGTTTCTACTGCCATTTTTATTGATTGGAATCAAGCTGTTTTAATTATCAAGGATACAATTAACAAAACAAAAACTCCATTTATCTATGGCCTACTATGTATGTATTTATAAACAGTAAAAAATAAGGTTTCAAAAACAATTGACATCAAGATATACAGAATGTTGTATTTAAAAAATACCAACTTTGGGTTAAATCTCACTATTCTCACTATTAAACCTTGTAAGGCGGCTAGCATTGAATTGCTCTAGGTGACCTTATATGACTTTGCAAAATCCAAAGCACCTCTACACTCCTTTTACTGAACTGGTCGATTCTGAACATTTGTTTTCAGTTATTAAACTATGATAAGGAGGCAGTTATACGTTGCTCTCTATATCAGTATGGGAGAGAAGATATGGCCCATACTAGGCAACTGCACGCCCACAGGTTGGTCAAAAAGCAAGGCACTGACGAAATTGATGATCCTCACAATGTACACGTTAACAGTGATGTGGGCTTCGTTGCCAAGTAAGTTTACAATCTTTACTGTCGTCCTTTTGTTAATGAAGGTGTCCTTAGTTTCCATAGCATGGGAATTATTCACACTGCAAGAAAGTACATTGTCCCAGAGTTAATACGAAAAATGACGATTTTGAAGCAAGAAGAAATCGCAAGAAGTGAGCACAAATTTAGACCTTTAACAAAAAAAGAGGAGTTGGAAGTATGGCAATGACCATAGTTGTATTTGGTTAACATCAATTTTGTTATAGATGAAAACTATTGCTGAGAAAGAAAGCAAATGTATAAACTTGAATGTGGTTTGTCTACGATTTGACGCTTATAGAGTAGTAAATAACATTTACTATCCCATATGCCAACCAGTTTCCTCTCCCGCCATTAATAATTTGAGTAAGTTTTGTTTCACTGTGTAAGTTTACCTTTTACTTACATTTGTTTAGAAAGTGCTTTAACCGGTGATTTGAGGATTGTTCGTATGGATCATTGTACAAGTCCCTGTAGGGGTGGCCGAGAAATATTTATATTAGTAGAAAAAGTTACTAAAAGTAAGTGCACGTTAGTAATCTAGCGTTTATCTAATGTGTATTGTAGAGAACATTAAAGTACGTTTCTTCGAGTTGGATGATGAGGATAATGAGGTGTGGGAGGATTATGGACGTTTTAGTGATTTGGACGTTCACCATCAATATGCCATTGTCTTCAAGTATGCCTATTTGTTTCATCTCAGTTTGTTAATCTATAATTTTAGAACTCCGCCATATAAACATGCTGACATTGACAAAGAAGTTAGAGTGTTTATCGAATTGCAACGCCCGTCAGATGGAGCCAGAAGTGAACCAAAAGATTTCAGTTACATTCCTTCAGAAATGTCTATTGGAAGAAAAAGAACAAGACTTAGTTCCGATGATTATACCACCTCGTTCTTTTCTGCTGATGAACTGCCTATAACGTTGAACACTATATCACCATCAGTTGATCACGAAACAATGACCAATGCGAATAATGCAACAATCAACAGTGCAGATTTAGAGGCTGCCCTCAAGCACAATAATATCGATTCATCAGAATTTGATAAGATCTGTAATTCACTAATTGGCCCTGGACCAATGAGGGACATTTTCACTGCCGAAAATGTTTCAATCAGAGAGTTGAAAAGCTTGGGTCTAGTTATGGATACTCCAAACTCCAAAATTCGTACACCTTTGCATAGGTATTACTTAATATGATGATTTTGTTATATTTGCTAATGTTTGATTTTAGTGGTAAAACTGAAAAACTTTCAGTTACTGAAGAAGAAAATCCCATTGACAGGGTGAAATCTGAGTTAATTTCATTTATGAAAACATCTCCCTCGAATAATAGAGTATCTCTTATGTTGGAGGCATTAATTTCGGGAGACAAATATACAACATCAAATGGGAATAAGTAAGTTTTTTTATTCCTTGTTCCTCTGAAATTTTCTGGTGGTTTTTTTTCCTACTTCGCACAAGTCTGTTGTATTATGACCTTTCGGGAAGTACTGATCTATTCATGGAAAATGCGCTAAAGTTAGTATTAACATTACGAAATATTGTAGTGTTCTCCATTTTTTGGCGGCCGAAATCGGCACAGAAGACGAATTTGTGACGCAGTTACTCAGCTTTGTGAAAAACTTTGGAAAAAAGGAATTGCTGAATGTGAAAAATATAAATGGACAATCCCCGCTACATTTAGCAGTTGAATTTGGAAATGAGCTATACCTTAAAGGACTAATTGAAGCACAAGCTGACATTGCAGTGCAAGATAAGCAGGGTAACACGCCACTACATGTGGCCATAGTAGATCGAGTTCCTGAAGGAATATTGTTGACAGTACTCGACGCTTACCACCGTTCCAATACCAATATTGACATTTACAATTACGGTATGTATAAAGTAAGGAATGGAAACATAATATTTTGCAGTTTTGCTTTCTAGATGGAAAAACGCCTTTACATTTGGCTGTAAGAGGAAAGAATTTAAACGCGACTAAGTTATTTATTAATTGTGGAGCCAATGTCAATGCAGCAGAAAAAAAGAACGGTTACACTCCTCTACATTTGGCCATTTTAAATCGAAATATTGACATTCTGAAATATTTACTTGACAGTACGAAAGCCGAATGTGATTGTGAAGACTTTGCTCAGTATAATCCTTTACTATTGGCACAGGAACTGTTGGATAGCTGTGACAAACAAACATTTCAGATATTTAGCATACTGGAAAGCCATTTGGTATGTTAACTTGTGGTGTTGTCAGCCTTGCAAATGCTTTACCTACCGGGATTTAGCAATGAAAAATGTAATAACACAAGGTTATGTTGCAGAAAAAAATTGGTATTCCCTCCGAGATGCTTTTACATAATCGTGTTCATTCTGAAAGTGATGAGAATGATGACGAAGAGGATTGCAGCAATAATAATGTAAGTACAAATCACATTTTTACCTGTCCTTCCACTTTTATACAGAAATTCTGGCTGACTTTGGAACTGTCATTTTGAAAATTAATTGGAGCACATTTTTTACAGAATTCTGCTGATGATGAAGCAAACATTGATATCATTGATAAATATGGTGCTGTAACAGACTTTACTGATGCTTGCAAAATATCATTGTCGGACATTCTGGATAAATCAGACGCATGGAAAAGATTAGGAGAATCATTAGATTTTGGGCACATACTCCATACTGATGCTTTTGCAGCAGTACAACATCCAACCAAGAGTTTATTGACGTTTGCTGTTGTAAGAAATATTTTTTTACATATTTGTTCACAAATTACTGACCGTTTATTTAGGCAAATGGCAGAAGTGTGAAGGAAATTAGAGATTGTTTGGCTACACTTAATGAGAAGCAAGCTGTGGAAATTATTGACAAGATGGTAATGAAATGCTGAGTTAGGATTTGTTACAGTATTGTAAATATATATTGTTATATTATCTATTGTATTTTTTAATATTTTATAAAAAAGAATTTATAATCATTAACTCTATTGTTATATTATTGTTTTATACCATTTCCAGATTTAACAGACGTTGACCAACACCTTTAAAGAAAATTCCCCAGTTTTATTAATTTTTTTAAATCTATTAGTAGATGGTATAATACCATAAGGTCCTTTCTCAAAGTGCTTCACATTGATCAGAATTTTTTATTTTGCTTTCCAAAAGATTCTTTCTTATTAAGAATTTCCTCAAGCTGTTTCGTCCAGATTTCCTCCGTTTCCTGACTAATTTCCCCAAAATTTCTTAACTTACATTAAATTTCCCATTTTTTTATATGAAAATTACCATCACCTTAACCATTTTTATTTTTCTAAAATTTTTGTAATACCTACTGTAGCGTTTATATCAACCGAAGCAAAGACGATAAATAATAATATTATGCTTTATTTTTTTGCAAGCTGGTAAGAAAATAACATGTACAGTCAAAGTTAGTAACAGAATCACGCAAAAAAACTACTACATCACAATAACCTTCGCGGTCATACTTAATTGATGCATTTGACCGTCTATTTTTAGCGCATTTTTGCAAATTTATTTGTAAAAAGTAGCTTTTAATCTCACTTTGGCTGGCTGGTCGGCTGGCTGCCAGCAAATGTGGGCGCGTAGAAGAACTCTTGTAGAAAGGCAACGGGTGTATTTGTATCTACAAGGCCGTGTAATTTGTAAACCTTGGGGACAGGGCTACATGATGTGGGGTTGGCGACATCTGGGCGTCGTCCTCGAGCGTAGTATACTAACGTGAAGGTTTTTCAGTTTTTTCCTATCTTCTACTACAGTTTTGGTCCGATTCTTTTCAAACTGGTGTCGTCGGAAAGATGTTGTGAACGCGCACAACTCCTGCGTGGCGAAATTTTGTTTTTTGGCCTAGGGGCGAAATTAACGACCTTTTGTAAGGCACGCGCGCGCGTCTTCGAGAGGTAGTCAACTTCGGGCACCTTTTACCTTCTGTTGCGAATTCTGTCACGCGTTTTAATGTTTCGTAAATCTCGAATGGCTGTCTCTCTTTCTCGTGTCGCCAATAGAAGCTCGAGCAATGAGAAGTGCCCCCCAAAAATTAAGTACTATCTTGTGGAAGGTTTTTAGCGAGATCCACCAAAATGTGGGTGTAATATAAGTATGCACCGAAAAAGGAAATGTGGTAGCCTCCGACAAGATCTAACTGATGGTGGAGAAAAATCTTCAAAGTCGAATTGCGGGTGAACGGGACGTCGGAAGTGGGTACCGTCAAAGCGAATGTAGTAGCCCCCGACACGATCTTACTGATGGTGGAGTCAAATCTTCAAACGCGAATTGCGGGTGAACGGGACGTCGGAAGTGGGTACCGTCAAAGGGAATGTGGTATTCTTCGACAAGATCTTTTATTCATGGTTGAGTCAAAAGTGGCTAATAGAATACTGATCTGCCACACAAAAATGCGCTGAAGTCCCTTCGATCTCACACGAGGACTTTGATAATTTTTTCGTTTCCCGCCGGAAGTCGACAGTATGGATCCTACTAGAGCCGTAGGTAGGTAGATCTTGCTTTGTAGCCATCTATTAGTTATATGCGATTTAAAATGGCAGAAAAGAAACCAATGTCTTTTACATCTGTATGTAAAATTGTTAAGGCTAATAGTAGGGGAGCTAGCACGAAATCCACTGAACGAGAATGATCAAAATTTTAACCGATGGAGTTCCATTTTGCCCTATCAGAGTATGCTAAAATCGATCGTCTGCCTCCTCAGGTCATACGACTTAAGGCGCTGCGGGTACTTCTTGCGGTACCAATTCTAAAAGGTTGTTTTTCGAAAAAATAAGTTATACACCTAATGAAAACGTTGATAATAGCTCTTAAAAAAATATTTAAAAAAATCGCGAACATTTGATAACTCCGTAAAAGAACAATTCTTAGTCGGTTTTTCACGAACTTTCTACGGATATAACTAGGTTACCGTTGGATGAATGAAGCTGATTTTTTTTACAGACTGATGATAGGTACAACTAATGACTTAACGGTGTTTCGTTTTTAAATTTTTTCTCTTATTATAAGATTATCTTATTATCTTAACATTATAAGATATCTTATAATTAGAGAAAAAACTTAAAAAAGAAACATTGTCATAGTCATTGGCTGTACCTATCATTAGTCTGTAAAAAAAAATCAGCTTCATTCATCCACCTAGCGGAATATAGTTCTCTCAACTCAATACGTGTAGAATAACTGGCAACACTGATACAGGATATAATAGCCGCTGCCTAGCCGAAGTCTGTCCTGTCATTTGTCAAGTGTGACTGAACTTTTATTTCAATAATTTGATTTATATCATAAAATTACGTAAATATGTCACAAATACCATTAGAAGCGAATGCACAGCAAATTGATTTAACTACGTTATCATTGCCACAATTGACACAATTAAAACAGCAGCTAGATCAAGTAATTAACTCAACATAACCTTATTTAATACTTCAGGTATTGCTTTTTAAGGAGCTGACTCTCTTTCAAGAATCCCTACAGTCTTTAAAATTAGCTCAAAACAAATTTCAAAACTCTGGCGAATGCTTAGAAAAGGTGACACCTGAGTCGGAAGGAAAATCTATACTTGTTCCCCTTACTGGATCTGTATCCTTTTTGTTGTGCTCATTTATGTGGTAACATGTCTGTTCGGTGATCTATTTGTGACCTATTGGTGTTAATTTTCAGGATTGTTGCTGAATGCATTACTTCATATGTCCTTAACTGCTTGTAGATGTATGTGCCAGGAAAGTTAGCAGATACAAAACATGTTATAATAGACATTGGTACAGGCTATTATGCAGAGCAAGATATTGCCGGGGCCAAGAGTTACTTTAGACGTAAGATTGCTTTTGTCACGGAACAAATGGAGAAGATACAAATTATCGGATTGGAGAAAAGCAAAATACGTGATACAGTTGCAGAAGTAATGGAATTGAAGATGCAAGCTCAAACGGCGCAAAGTTAATGTTTAAGTTTTAATATTTATTTTAAAATTCGTATTGCTGCTCGTTTAAAAAAATGTCACTCTTTAGTTGTGATAGGCATTAAAAACTTTGCTAAATACACCTACTAAATTATTTGTTAAAGATTGTCATGTCTATATTATCCAGTAGGAATATACAAAGTAACTTACGACAGGAAATAACAAATAACACTTTCATAGGAGCATAACTGTTAAGCTTTTACAGCAATTATTAAAATTGTTTCTTGAACTTTTCTTTGATAACAACTAACCAAGGTTGATTTTCCAAAGCCTAAGGTCAATACTTAACTTTGTTTTTAAATTCCATAAATAAACAAATACACAACATTAAAGGTTTTTGTAGTCTGTAGTAAATTGAAGATACCTGCATGGTTAAAACCAAGTTCATAATTACAATAAACTAGAAATAGCCACAATAACAAGTAGAGGAGGGAGGTTTTATATAAAAATATTCAACAAGTATGGCTCATGAGTCATGAGGATGTTTGCTGGCCTGTATGAGCCGCATAAAAGTTACAGAAAATGTTGAACCTAATATACTTTATTGGTAATGATATTGCACCATTTTGTCGTAATTGTTGGAATTGCGAGATACAAAATACCATGAAGCGGAGACGCACATCCACGTCCAAAATGTAGGAGTCCGTACTGTTTCATAGTTCAGCTACTACATCAAAGATGGCATTATTATCGCGTTATATTTTCACTATTCGTATTATATTTTGTAATTGCCTTATCACTCATATTGCATGATACATTGTTCTTCAGTAAACAATAAGCGTTTTGTAGTAGGTACTAGCATTGAATAAGTAATCATAGGAAGAAGTATCACATTTATAGATTTTCGCGTAATGTTGGTTGCATACCGTTAAGGCTGGGATTGCCTGAAAAGAGAATTACCCATAGTAAAGGACAAAGTTTTTTTCGTTAGACTGTGCTGGTACCTAATAATGAGTAGCGTGACTACAGCAGTTTTCTATACAAATATTTAAATCATTATACTCTCTTTAAGTGGGCCCCAACAACACAGAGGGAGCTTAAAAAAAATGCAATTTGATTTGCATAACCACACGACAAGAAGATACAAAACACAAACGCAAGGTCGTTCACGGCTCCTTACAGACTGCTAGATTAACAAAATTATAATTAGCTCTCTACCGCACACAACTTGAGGAGAATAATGAACCGCTTGTAACGTAACGTATGAAGAAAAAATTGCGCAATTATTGGCATGGGGGACTTTCAAAATTAAGGTCGTAAAATTGGTTCACATTTTTGTTTGGAAGGGCCCTCAGTAAAACTCTCGATTCCTTCACTTAACGGTAAAACGCTGCAATTTCTAAGAAAACACCTTTGGAAATTCAATTCTTTTTCATTGTTACCCATTGAATAATTTTTTTCACTACTAGCGTCTGATGACATGATTATTAACCTTTTTTCCACTTGTAAAGTAGGCTTTCTCGGCATTTGTTCAAAGTGGTTAATAATCTTTTATTATTAAATAGTAGTCAATAATGAGAACTGTCACGCTGTCACTTTTAGAAAACACAACCCGAAATTTCGCTCAATGAACGTTATTAGACAAGTTCTCTAAAACGAATAATTGCCACCATTCGCAATTTCCAGAGAAATTACATACCTAAAATTATCACATTTTGAAAAAATTCGATCGAAATTACTCTTTGAAAAATCTCAATGACAGAACAAAATACGGCCTGTTTGACTTGTACTTCCACGTACTTGATTGACATGTTAAATTAAGAAACAAACAATTCTGTGCAACCGTTAACTCTCTTATCAATATAATATGTTAATTTAGAGGATTTCAAGTGCTAGTAGTGAAAAAAATAGTATATATACCACGGTAGAGAAGTCTATTACTTCGCACCTTACACCCCTCGGCGCAAGCGCCTCGAGATGTAATCTTGGTGCTCAGGCAATAATAGTGGACTTCTCTACCTTGATATATAATGTACTATTATTCAATGTCATTACGAAGTGTGTTTGTTATACTTAGTTATAACGATCGTAGTGCCTATTCAAATAATAGGTAACGAGACTTTGTAACTAACGAAATGTTATTACAGTAGAGACGCGTTTTGACTTTTAGGACTTGGAAAAAGTTCATCCATATTTTCGTTTTTTTTTGTATTTTTCTCTAAAACGGTAGGGAAATTTCGAATTAGATAGAACAAGCAAAAGCTTTTATGGAGAATGCATTTTTGTCAAAAAGTATAGTAAAAGTTTTTCTTCTTGTAAAGTCAATCCGGGGACATACGATGTACCGATTTTTTTTAATTTTTAGCCGTTTATACCTTAAATATACATTTGTATCTCTCTATCCCCATGTATTAATTTCGAGGGATGGTCTTTTGTAAATTAGTAATATACAGGCTGATTCAAATTCGAGGCCACCATGGGTATCTCGCGAACTGTAAGAGATATAGTGTATTCAGAAAATAATGTTACTTTTCTTATTAACGCTGGGGGTGTTCCCAATAGTATTGCGATAAATGGTATTATTGGATTTGCATCTTAAAGTTAAATGTTTGGGAAAAACCGGATTTTTAAGGACGAAAGTCGTTCAAAACAATCCTTACGGCTTGTTTAAATGAATAGAACAATAAGCACCAATCACCCACCAGTCAACAGAATATAAATATTACACCAGTTACGATACGAAATCATGCTTGTATTTTAGCAGTTCACATTAAAAATTACAACATTTGTTACAAATAAACATGAAAATATGTACATTATTTACTTAATTGCTACCTATTATAATAATCGACATGAATTAAGTTCATATGAATTCACGCGTCGTTGTCACTTTCACTTAAATAATCGCTTTCTTCATCACTTCCTGTATTTACAGTAAAAACCAAAGCCCTTACATCGTCTATAATTTTTTCACGATTGAAGGTATCCTTGATTATTTCTTCTGTATGGGTTACGCAGCGATTCCACACGTCTGGAGTTACTTTAGCTAACGCGTCGTTCCAGGTTTTAAGAACATCTTCTGGTCTTTCCGGCGTACCAACAATATGGTCATCGTAAAACTTTTTCGAAATTCCCCATACCAGTTCAATGGGATTGAAATGGCAATGGTAAGGCGGCAAACGCAGAACCTCGTGGCCATATTGTAATGTCATTTCATCGACAACATATTTAGTTATGGTTGCTTGACTGTGATTTTTTACAATTTCTAACAATTCGGCCTTAAACATCGCAGTACCAAATGGTCTATTCTTCATTTTCAACCAATTCGAAATTTCCTCTTTGGTTGAAGAAGCTCTTGGAATCTTTTCACTTTTCCGCGTGTGATAAGATGCATTGTCTAAAACAATAATTGAGGGCTGAGCAAGTTTCTTTAGGAAAGATTCTTCAAACCATTTTTCAAATAGTTCGGCGTTCATATTGTCGTGGTAATCGAACGATTTGTTGGTACTCGAAAATATTAAGCTGCTGCCTTCTATAAACCCATTTCTGCCACCAGCATGAATAATTATGTATCGTTTACCATCTGAAGCCTTATGAGTTGTTGCAAACTTTTAGCGCGGTCATCTTGCCAAGTACGCTTTGTTGCGCCTCTGCTAAACACCCAGGTTTCGTCTAAAAAAACGAAATCATGCGGAATTTCGGATTCGAGATTTCTGATGTATTTTCGCAAAAACACATTCCGCATGGAAACCACATGACTTTGTTCACACGAACCCCGTCTGCTATTGGTCATCTTAAATTTAAAGCCCATTTCTTTCAGTGCATAGAACAAGCTTGTTCTGCCCAAATCACACAAGTCTTTCAATTTTATCACCGCCAACAAAGTATCTAGAGTTACGTGCTCTTTATTTGCGTACATATCATAAATCAGATATCGGATGGTATGCTTTTTATTTTCTAGTAGGTCCGTCCTACGTGGTTTAGAACGGCGATATGGATTTCTTTTTAAATCACTTCCAATCTCTCGCATAGCACATGTCCTCACAACTGTTTGTTTCGATACTTGCACCGCATCCGCTGTTCTTTGTTGAACTGCCATTACTGAAGTAAGTACTCCACCATGATTTTTTTCTTTTACAAAATAATCATACACGTTCAACTAAATTTTACATTTGGCCTCAGTGGCGTCCATTTTGACCAGGTTGTACAGGAAACTAAGTGAGTATAACAATTCAGTTGCAATATATATAGAACCCCTTCCTAAAGACATTAACAAATATTTTCTTATTTTCTTTTACTTATAAAACATTAATATTGATTACAATAATTAGGAAGTCATTATGGTACAAGTACAAATCTAAATATAATTAACTTCTGAGGTAAACAAGCGATTATTGTATTGAAAGTGATAACGATAATACCCCTAGCACATTATGTACATATTTGCATATCATTACATTATATTATGTATTACGTACCATTTGAATATCGTATAAGTTTTTAGCGCATTTTACGAACGTAAAATTACCGTTATTTTACCATTTAAAGACAAGCGTTATACCTTCGTATCGAAATTGGTGTAATATTTATAATTTGTTGAGAACTGCTGACTGCTGGGTGATTGGTGTTTATTGTTCTATTCATTTAAACAAGCCGTAAGGATTGTTTTATTAAAAATCCGGTTTTTCCAATACATTTAAGATGCAAATCCAATAATACCATTTATCGCAATACTATTGGGAACACCCCCAGCGCTAATGAGAAAAGTAACATTATTTTCTGAATACAGTTATAGGATAGGTAGGTAGTTTAAATTTGTTAAAGTTGTGTATTTTGATGCTTAACAAAATGCAGTTTTGAAACTGAAAATTCTGACTACTTTCGGAGATATCCGGAAAAATAAACGACATTTTGAAAATCGTTTTTGTTTTTACTGACGTTATTTACAAAGATATTTAATAATAAATGACACATTATTATGGCCACTTTTTTCCCTCTACAAGATGCTAGTTTAAAATTTTAAATCCGACATTTCGTCTCCGGTTAACTATCATCAACTTTGTTTTTTCTTATGGAAGCAATTTTTACTTTTTGTGAATTTTTTTCTAATTTCAAAAATGTACACATCAATTTTTTTAATGTTTGTAAAATATCTTTTTGCCCAGAAAACTTTGTCTTAAGTAACGTACGTAAGTAGTTTCTTGCGTTTTTACGAATGAATAGCGTTATTTCTTATTAAAAATAGATTTTTGAAATCAGAAAAAAATTCTTTATCAAATGACACAAAAATTCAAAATTGCTTCCATAAGAACTGGACTGGAGACGAAACGTCAAACTTAAAATTTAAAAGTAGCATCTTGTAGAGGGAAAAAACCTTAGATTTTTTATATATATTTTAGATTCCTTGTCTAAGGAAAAAACTCAAAAAAGTGGTCATAATAATGTGTCATTTATTTTGAAACATGTTTTCTAGATTTTATAAACATATATTAATGGACAAAATATCAGTTTATATTGTATGGAAACTATGCTCTGTACATGTATCTACCTAATACATATTTTTCCGATCATATACACCCCTTGCTTATGGAATGGTGAATGAAGTTCAGAGGCAATGCACGCCCCATTGAATTACAAGTGCATCACCAGTTGCCTATGTTCTCTAAATCCAAACCTTAAATTGTTTCAAACGTGCGTATTTCTCTTTCATTATGAGACCATTCAATGATGAGACTATGCTCTTTCCTTCTCTGAGCTATCCACGATGCAGACCTTATGCAGACAGATCAGCCCTGTTTCCAATGTGTCTACCTGAACTCGTTTAGTATTTAAACTGGTTTAACTCACGTTTCACTGTTATTTTTGCTATTGTTACGGGCGGCGATTATTTATAATCACCAATCAATGTGAATAATTGAGGGAAGGAACATTTTTTAAATAGCCCTTCCTTCTCAGTTTTATAAATGGTAATTTCTAAATGTACTCGGTGCATTTCAGATTTCAGTGTTTTTTTTCGTTTTGAAACGAGCTTTAATTATTTACCGGCCAGCGAAATGGATGCAATCTCGATATGACGCCTTCTTCCACTCCCAGCCGAGTCAACCCCATTTACTTCTAAAAGGTCACAGTTCGAGCAAAAAATTCATCGTATTCAGGCACGCGTGATAAGGCGCAGGCCCGCGGTGCTACTTAGGGTGCAAATGGTGCCGGCAAGTGGTCCTTACTTATATAAACTCATTAGTCTAATTTGATCTCTTTAATGGGAGATGTGAAAGTTGACCAGATAACTGTCATAGAATAAGTAATTATTGCCAAGATTCCGCCCAAAAACGGTTTTTTGCAAATAACTTCAAAACTATGCGTTTTTCGAAAAAGTATGTTGAAAGCAAAATTGAAGAGGCATATTTTTGCTAAAGTGAGCCGTTTAGGCTCAAGAGCTGATTGAATGACAACATATTCTGTTAATTTCTATAAACTGCCCCTATCTCCATATTCCTTTGGGTATATATTATAAAATCATTTTCATATGACTACGCCATTGTTGTTGGGGAGGATGTTGACCTCATTGTTCTGTTGACAGCACTGTGCAAGACTCATGATAAAGTTTACCTACCTGGGAGAGAAAAAACGGTCCAAAATATTTATTCGTCGGAAGGTTTCTAAGGAACCGAAGTAGTCAAGGATCAAGGATTATAAACATATAAGGATGGCCGAATCCCTATGCACTAATGTTATCCGGAGCGCTGGTTGTGGTGACGTCACAATCATACCTACAGCGCAAGTGTCTATATAGCAGCATGTATATCGCTCAATTAGAAATGCCAAATTAATGCTCTTCTTCGTCTAATTTTCCAATGTATAATATTTTTTGACGTGTGCGGATATGCGTAGTATATCGCGACAGTTTTTATTATATGGTATTGCACACAGAATTGGTAAAATAAGTAGGTATATAAGTATAGTTACACCACAATGCCGGGAATAAGATGTGCTATTTATGGCTGTAATAATAATGTAATATTACCGTTAAAAAACTGGGAAAAGACATAAAATTCCATGCGTTTCCCAAAGCCTAACTCGATGCTCTTGAATACATAGCAGGATTCCTTGCACACAAGTATAGGTACCTATAAAGAAAAGCTGCCCGATTTAGGTGACTATACGCATAAGATTCGAGAAGAACATAACTATATCATTCCATCATGTGTGTGTTCAACACTTATCATGTGGGGGACTTATTAAACCGAAAGAACACTGGTTAACCAAGATTATTAAATGCAACCGGTATTTTGAGGTATACTATGGAGAATCCTACAGACCAGGTAAATGCGCAGTATAAAATTTGTCAGTTAGAATTTCTAAAAAGGAAACAAAGTTACATTTTCCTTTAGTTAAACATTTTGTAAAATTTAGGACTATAATAAGAATGATGATCGCAATCTTAAACGAGAAAGTTGCAACACCTTCAAAAGAAAGTTTACTACTGAAAATGATGGTGGTAGAAAAAAAAGTATAGGAAATTCATTAAAGTAACGACATCATTTAGGGGTAGGTACTAAGGTTGGGAATTTCTCGTTTAACTGTTATAGCACAGACTAAGATAGTGTTTTAATCTGTGGTTATATTTTTTAAATTAGGTTATAGAAACAAAAATTGTAAAAGTAATGTACAATAGAGACAATTATAATTAAAATAATAAACAGTCATATTAATATTGCGAAGTAAAGTACTTGCACGCGTATATATACCTACACACTACCGGCACGGGATGACGGTGACGTCACAAACGTTGGAGGTCATGCGAATGAATATCGCCGATTCGGCCATCCTTAGTAGTTTATAATCCTTGGTCAAGGATAACATCTTCTTCATTCACGCATACGCCTACTAGTCCACTTGGTAAGTTGGAGTTAATACATTAGCGTTGTCGCGCGATGCTGCAGCTTTCTACTTTTATTTATTTACTAGCTGACCCGACGGACGTTGTCCTCTTTCCTAGCTATGCATACCTAATCAATTTGAACTGGAATAAATAATAACAAAAAATTATTTCGAGAAATTCGCTATGCCTAGAGCAGGTACCACCCCCCCTCCCCCTGCGCATGCGCGAGTCTGCCCTTTTATGTCAAAGAATATGTGTAGCAAATTTGGTTCCAATCGGTTCAACCGTTTAGCCGGAAAAGATATTTTGACACACTTACCCAAAAATCTCCCCATCTCTCCCCAAAATAATAAAAAATAAACGCACTCACTTCTACGTTGCTTTTGGCGATTCAGAGCTAGCAACGTGCCTTTGCTGCGGCAAATGCCGTAATTTGAAAACAATTGTTTTATTTCTGCATATGAGAGAATCTGGCCCATTTCCAGAAACCAAGGAATGTAGTGGCTCTGGTGGCGGTACCAATGGCGTCAATTTCGCTTGGCCACTGGCGCAACATAATTCCGGGGCTTCTGTAAACTGTAATTGATTGTTACGTTGTAATTAAATGCAGCTCGATAGGGATTAAAGGGTACATTTCTGCGTTGTTCATATCGATTTCGTTAACTTCGTTTCCCGTTTTCGTTAGTTTGACTTACTCGTATATACCGGGTGGTGCACGGTAAGTAGGAACATACGGATTTAACATGGGAAATTAGTTTTATGCAATATCCTGCCCTCCTGTACATTTTACAGAAAAAACTGTAGAGTTTAAAGTTGTTTAGAATTAAAAGGTGCATACAAAACTGTTTTTACATGTTCTATTAAGCTTTTGGTATACCCGCAAATTTAAAAATAAATGTCAACATTTCTGTTATTAGTAGCAATAGCCATGACTTTGGTTGTTTTATGAATTGCTATACTAATAACAGAAATGTTGACATTTATTTTTAAATTTGCGGGTATACCAAAAGCTTAATAGAACATGTAAAAACAGTTTTGTATGCACCTTTTAATTCTGAGCAACTTTAAACTCTACAGTTTTTTCTGTGAAATGTACAGGAGGGCAGAATATAGCATAAAACTAATTTCCCATGTTAAATCCCTATTCCTACTTACCGTGCACCACCCGGTATGTTTGACTTGTAGGATTACGAATTCTGCGACCTAAGTTGGTACCT